AGTAAATAATCTATTCTGGAGTCACCCATTTGATTCCAGTTCAGAGAAAGGGCTACACCTTGTACACAATATGACAGCAAGAACTGAGATGATAATCTAATGTTCTGTAATCTTTCCACCCCCGATCCTTGCAAAGGTAGGATCTGGGTGTATTCTTTCCACCCCCAATCCTTGCAAAGAAACTAAGACAATACATTTAAAAATAAAAATTATATAGTACCTCAATAGATAGAAACCAAAAGACAAATAATTGAGATTATTTTTTAGAATTAGTCAGGTAGAAAGCTGTCTTATTATTGAATTATTCGAGTACTTTGAGTTCCAAATAATTATTTAGGTCTGAAGGATGCACGTCATTGCCTCAATTATCTACCTTGCTTTACCAGTGGAGACTTAGAAAGAGAAGAACATTTCAGATGAAAGTTTGGGAAGTAAAGGCAGAAAGGGAAAGTTACAGACCTGGGTTACTTCAGCTTGAACTAGGAACAATAATTCAGTAAGTCCTCAAATACAGGAGAGGTTGGTGACCACCATTCTCCATCTACACAGAGCACAGGACTAGCATAGTACTAGGTATGCGGGGGCTGCACAAACAAGGCATAGGGAATTAATTGTCCATTGATAATAACAAGGTTCCTTCCAAACAGCTACAATGTAGCAAAAGATAACTCGGTGAGAATTGTCTCTTCTCTGAAGTCTTTAAAAACTAAGAATTTACGCAAAGTGCAGTGACTTAATCCCAGCACTTTGGGAGGCCAACGCAGGAGGATCACTTAAGTCCAGGAGTTCAAGACCAGCCTGGACAACTAGTAAGACCTAATATGTCAAAATTCAAAAATTAGCCAGGTGTGGTGACACATGCCTGTAGTCTTAGCTAGTCAGGAGGCTAAGGAAAGAAGACAGCTTGAGCCTAAAAGCTTGAGGCTGCAGCGAGCTGTGATCATGCCACTGTACTCCCATGTGTGAGACAGAGCCAGACCCTGTCTCTAATAATAATAATAATAATAATAATAATAATGAATTAAGTAGTTAACACAGTTTAGATCTAGGCACATTTCTTAAAAGCAGGTAAAAGTCTTGGAACTAGGGTTTAAATGGTCCTAAAGTAGCATGGGACTAGAGCTTTCTCCCTGATCACAACATTTGCCCTCTCCCCACATCCTTTCACCCCACCAACAGGACTTCGCAAAAGGAAGCCAGCTCTGCTCTCAGCTATACCTCAGGCCCTAAGCTACTATTTCCTCATGAACATTTGCCACAATGAGTTAGTTACTCCCACCCATTCCACGTTCTGTCATCTCAAGAAATGAATTCACACTCCAAAATCAATTGTCAGATAGGGATTTTAGACCTATGCGGCACCAAACTCAGAGGAGAAGAAGAATAGTAATTTCTTAACAGTTCTTAGTATTTTTCTCTCCAGCTTTATCTTAAAATTGTACGTCTTAATAATTCAGGATGAATGTGGAATACTTAAGCCATTTTATGAATGTTCAGACTTTTGGCATAATAAAAGAATCAAAGCAATGAGGTAAATGGCTTGCTAAGAGATGCAGTGACTTAGCGGTAAGCTCAATAGCTTGCATCTGCCTAGTCTCAACCAGATAATACTTTAAAAATTGTCCCAAGTTACCTGGAGAACATAGTTGGTGATGCTGTTCCATATAATAGAAAATGAATCATTATTTAGAAGCATCACTGAACAAAATTCACATCCTACTATAACAGATCCCAATGCAGCTTTCAAATTAGTCATCCAGAGAAATACACTATGGATTGGTACCACACATTCTGTGTGGTAGAACACAGAAGCTATTTTGTTTTACAAGTACAACATGATGGTTTTTATGGGGGAAGTGAAGAATAATTTATCCAGTGGGGGAGGAATGTAATTAGCTTGAATACAAAGTATTGGAATTTGGCCAGGACAATAGCCCAGTTATTTTTTTAAAAGACTCCATTATGGATTATACCAAGAATTAAACTTAAATAGTGCCCTCTGTTGAAGCTTGTATTCTCATGGTTATTATTTTTGTCTTTGTCCTTCACATATACTAAGGGAACAACAGATCGGTAATAGCATTTGCTGAGCATTTATTGTGTGCTAGGCACTTTGCTAAATGTTCTTATTGTTCACCATACCTGCATGATGGTTGGAAAGCCAAGCTCCTTCCTCATCCTCTGCAAAATGCCTGCTCTGTGGTCCTCTCTTGGACCTTCAAGTGATCCCCTAGTGAAGCAAGCCACTTTCAGAATAGAGCTAGCAGGAGACCTGAGCAGGTCAGGAATAGACTGTGTGCGGCCTAAAAGGTAAAGTGGGTGCAGGGAACACAGGCTCCACCAGGTGCTGCCCTGGGCCCTGACTATGGCCTGATCCTTAGCCCAGAGGCTGGGAAATGGACCCGGGTGCAGGTCCTCATGCATTGTCTCACCTCCTGCCATGATCAAAGGCTCATGATACTGACTGCAAAGATTTATGCTTTTAACATCTAAGCTAAATAAGCTCCATAGAACACAACAGGAAAACTGCTAACTGAACGAATGATTGCACAAGAGACATGGTAGTTGTCTTCTTGGAGTTTCATAGTAAAAGACTTGTATATTATCTATGAAACAAAAGTTTAGGCCGGGCACAGTGTCTCATGCCTGTAATCCCAGTATTTGGGGAGGCTGAAGTGAGAGGATCACTTGAGCCCAGGAGTTAGAGACAGCAGTGAGCTATGATCTTGCCATTGCTCTCCAGCCTAGGTGACAGAGTGAGACCTTGACAAAGAAAAATAATAATAATTAATTTAATTTAATTTAAAAATGAAATTTTTTAAAATGCTGGGCTAGAGAAGTAAAAGAGCTCTGATTATCACCAGTTTTCATACCTGTGACCCTTGGTTAGACTTTCTCTGAGGAGCACCTGTGGCTTAGCTATTCAACTAAGACGGCTTTTCACAGTGCACAGGCTCCAGCATGCTGGCTTCTCTGACACAATTCAGGACTCAGGGTTCTACCCACGATAATCTGTCTCAAACAAGCCTATAGGCAATACTGGGGTAACGATACACACAACAGAAGAATAAACCCAGGTTAGGTTACTTAATCCATTGCACCCTTTCAGGAACAAAAAATCAGTCTAATCAGCATCAAAAATTATCTCCTGGTGATCTCAGCAGGGCCTCCTGGTAAGAGGTTAAGGTGTTGAGTCATTGGATTGTGTTTAAGTAAAATAACCCCTAAGTGTAAAGGAAGTGTAAATTTAGAGTCTTTATTATTCTTTTTACAACAAAAGAAAGAATTTTTTTTTTAACAAAGGTTTTCTTTTATAATTATAAAAAATGTCATGTGCTCTTTAGGAATAATGTTGAAAAATTAATCTCCCAGAGATTTGTTATATCAAATCTCCCAGAGCCCCAAACAATGAAAAATCAAACAAAATCCCACTGACCAAGACCATGACTATAAATATTTTATTGTGCTTTTGTATGCTAAAATCAGTACCAGCCACTCAATTATAGCTAACTATAACATTTAAATAATTGTTCTTTCACATTATGAAAAATCTTTGGAAACATTAATTTTAACACCTACACAGTGTTCAATCATGTACATCTACTTCTGGTTAGCATTGACTTAACCAGAGACTCTGTTAGTCTCATTTTGTTTGAGGCCTTTGTTTTTTCATGTTCTTTGGTTTTGCTTTTATTTTTGTTTTGATGAACAATATTGTATTTATTTTTCTTATCTTGCCTGGAATATAATATTATGTATACGTATAGTTAAAACATTTCTACAGGCTGGGCTCAGTGGCTCATGTCTGTAATCCCAGCACTTTGAGAGGCCAAGGCCAACTGATCACAGGGTCAAGAGATCGAGACCATCCTGGCCAACATGGTGAAACCCCCGTCTCTACTAAAAATACAAAAATTAGCTGGGCGTGGTGGTGTTCGCCTGTAGTCCCAGCTATTCGGGAGGCTGAGGTAGGAGAATCGCTTGAACCTGGGAGGCGGAGATTGC